ACCGATCCGGTCAATCTCATGGCCACGGTCGAGTCGATCCTCAAGCAAACCGGAGAACCGGACGAGGCAACGCATCTCATCCGACAACAAGTTACCTCCTTGCTGATGGCGCACAAGTCACGTGCTATTATTACCAAAGAGAAGCAGAACGCTCTCAAGGCACTCAGGAATGACACCAGCATTGTAATACTACCGGCAGACAAAGGACGTTCCACGGTAGTGCTGGATAAGACTGACTATGTCCTGAAGACTTTCTTTACCTTCGAAGGGAGGGTGCACTAACAGACCAAGGGACGCCGATGAGATCACCGCTTTCAGGCTTCATCGCAGATGCAGTCCTCCAAAAGGTAAAAAAACGAAGTTTTCGAGACCTACAGGCCAAAATTTTGGACCCCATATGTCGATGATACCTTTGTCACCATCATCAAACATTTCACAATGTACTGAATTCAGTGTCGTCTGATATTCAGTTCACGATGGAGGCCGAAAGCAACGACGAACTACCGTCCCTCGACGTACTACTTCACTTCTCTGGCAGGTGAGAAAACGGACTGTCGCAGTAAAATAAACGGACCCCACGAAGGTGCCAGCGTTCACTCGTTCTTCTTCTTCTTTTTCTTCTTCTTCTTCCTATACTCAATTATGTCCGGGGACGCGCATCTTCGCTTCTATTAGCAATTTTTTTGGAAAATCTTCACCCTTTGTGTGTCTTCTACCTACGCGCAAATACAATTCCTCCACAGATGCCCTGACAAGCATGTGCTTCCGAGGAGCCTGTCCTACAAACCACCGGTGAACACAAGTCTGGCGAAACGGTTGGTGGCTGCACATGACAGACGATCGCACAAAGAGCAAGTATTAACATAATAAGAGGCAACAGAGACTTCTCTGACCCCGCTCAAAGGGACTCCAACGTACAGACTGTCTAAGTGGCTGTTCCGGCGTCTCAAATTCCTGACTGCTGGGTCAGACACCACGATCTCTTCGTCAGCATAATTCCTGGAGAAACTCAATGAGGTAAGCCTCCATCCAAATGAGGTCATGGTACCTTTTGATGTTACATTCCTTTTTACTTTTATTCCCCAGGACCTGGCGATCGAGACAATCCAGCTGCTTCTTCAAAGCAAATGCGATAAAACGGTGGTTCGTCTTGGACACGCCCAAATCCTTCACCTCCTGAAGCTCTGTCTCAGGACGTACTTCACGTTCGACGGAACAATCTACGAACAGGTGAAGGGCAAACCAATGGGTTCGCCAATTCCAGGATTCATCAACGAGACGGTTCTACAATGGTTAGAGTCGCTTATCTTCCAACACCACAAAACCGAAGTTCTGGGCCCCGTATGTGGATAATACCTTCGTCGTCATCGAACGGGATCAGGTGCTGACATTCCAAGAACATCTCAACATCGTCTTCCCGGACATTCAATTTACGACGGAGGAGGAAGAGAACAACCAGCTGGCCTTCCTGGATGTCCTTGTATGCCGCAAAGGTTGTGGTAGACTAAGAACCAAAGTGTTCAGGAAAGCGGCAAATACGATGCAAGTACTGAACTTCAACAGCAACAACCCAATTAACCACAAACGCAGTTGTGTAAGGGCGCTCTATCGGCGTGTCCAAACGCACTGCAGTGAGCCGGAAGACAAGATTACCGAACTACAATACCTCCGACGGGTAGTCAAAGCCAGTGGCTACCCGCGCATCTTCGTCAACCGGTGCATATGCAAAAGGGACGAAAGGCCTAATCGCACGGATACCAAATCTTGGCGGGCGCTTCCGAATGTCAAGAACGTTTCGGAAGCTGTTGGCCGCCTACTCACACCACTGGAGGTTGGAGTTGCACACAGAGCGGAGGCAATCATCAGACGTCTGGTAATGAAACCGAAAGACCCGCTGCCACGGCTAGAAACGTCTGCAGTCGTTTATCGGATCTGGTGCAGTTGCGGACAAAGCAACTACGTCGGAGAAACCGGAAGACGGCTCTGAACGAGAATTGCCGAACACGCTGCAGCGGTGCGGAGAAATGACGCCAGCTCCCAAGTTGCGACTCATTTGACA